GAGAGTTGAATGGATGCCGTCAAGAGGCACTCACAATCAACATGGCCCGTGAGCATGCGGCCACTCCACGCAGAAACACAGCAGGAAAGGGTGAGAGGGGAAAAAAGCAAAAGGCAGCACAAACACACACGGAAGGAACAGACGACAGGCGGAGAAAAGCATCGCCAGGGGCCTCACCCCGCCAGCCACACGCGGAGGCGGATCCTCACCCATCCACGACGCGGCTCCCAGAATTTACACCGCCATCCCGTCCTCAATGGTTTGCGGCCCTCACCCCACGCGGTCACACGCGGTGCATCACGCCAACAGAAAAAGAGACTCGCAATGCGCGCCCTCTCTCCCCTCCTTTCCCCTCATACCCACGGAAGGAAGCGGCAGCTGCACGCAACTGCCAGCACCGAGTACAAAGGAAGCATCCACCTGCACTGCAATGTGTGTGTCCTACGCGTGTGGCTGTGTGTGCCCACTGCCACGCTCAACAAAGTAGGAAAAAAAGGAAAAACAAAAAAGAGAAGAGGCGTAAAGCATCTGAAGGGACGCGCAAACACAAATGCACAGCAGGCGTCCACGGCGGAAAGCAGTGGAAAATCAAACAACATTCATTTAAAAACAAAACAAAAAATTTCCCGTCCCTCACATTTTAACCCCCCGCACAGAAGAAAAAAAAAAATTTGTCGTCCTCTATTACTGTTCCACACAAAAAAAAAAAAAAAAATGTCGTCCTCTATTACTGTTCCACACAAAAGAAAAAAAAAAATTGTCGTCCTCTATTACTGTTCCACACAAAAGAAAAAAAAAAACATGTCGTCCTCTATTACTGTTCCACACAGAAAAAGATGAAAATGAAATGAAAAAAACACAAAAATCCACCTGGTTAGCGTGTGGTCCCACCAAACTGCCTGATTATTTTGACCACAAGGTAGATTCAGAAAGATACATCTCTTTCAACCGTCCGACCCTCCATGTGTCCGCACATCGTTTATATTTCATGGGGCCATCTGCGTGCTGCTGCTCCCCGCAGCCCTCTCATCGGCGTGCGAGTGCGGCCCGCAGAGCACAGTCACTCGTATGTTTGTGTGGGAAAGATGAGAGAAGCACGCAGACATGACGGCAGTCGCGTCACTCCATCGGGAGAGTGAGCGCAGCAAAAGAAAAAAATCATCAGGGGGAGAGAAATGCTCACTAGGCCAACCCCGAGGGGTGTGCCAGCGCGTGAAATAAACACGCAAAGAAAAATCCTTAAAGAAGCGGCAGGGCGTGGCTGTGTGTGTGGCGCTGCGGGTGTCTGCCAGCCCTGGCCGCAAAAACAAAACAAGAGGGAAAGAAATGTGTGCTCCGCCCCACAGGCCCTCGTCGCACGCCCACACGTCACGGCTCCCTCAGCGCGCCGTTCGTCGCGGCCCCTCCTCATGCGTGCAGCAGGCGAGGCGCACAGGGCCGTCGTCACGAGCGTGTCGGTGGGTATGCGAGTGGAGC